GCTGTCTATGACCACTTGATGGCCATCGGCGCATCATCCCACCCCCAGTGCCCGGGTTGTGGTTCAGAGGCCTTTTGGATCCACATCAGGGTCTCTTTGGCTGCCCCTCGGGGGACTTTGGGGGGGGTCTTTGGGGGCCTCTTGGGGCGTCTCCAGAGCCTCGGGGGCCCCTCGGGGAGCCTCGGGGGCCTCTCTGGGGCGCTCTCTGGGGCGCACCTTGGCGCAGGGGGCTCGGGGCGTCCGCTCGGGTGTCCCGCGCGTGGGCCCCTCGCGGGTGCCTCCTGGCCTGGGCCGTCTTGGGGCCCTCCTGGGGCGCGTTTGGGTCCTCCTGGGCGCCTCCTGGGCAGTCTTGGGGCGGTACTGCGGGCTTCTTTGGCCGTGGTGGAGCACTGCAGGTTGACGAAGCGTGAGAAGGCGAACGTCAGTCACACACACACACACCGAAGGAAATCAAGGGTTTTGCTTGGCCTCCTCGGTCCCCCCGGGCCCGTCTTGGGGCCCGTCTTGCTTGCAGAAGACGCGCGCGACGCGCCCTGCAGAAAGCACGCGGGAGGCGAGCTCTGCGTATATCCTTCTCGCCATGCCGCAAGCCTCCTCAGCAGCAGGATGCACAGCTTCTTGCGCCTGAGGCCCACGCGGACCAGGAAGAGGGACTTCACCAGCAAGATACCAAGTGCGGGAACATGTGGAAGAAAAGAGTGGCTCATGGCCAATGCTGATGAAACAACAAGAGGTCCTCGATCAGCTTCGCCAGCCTGAGGCGCCAGGTCAGGACTGCCAGCACGTAGCAGCGCACGCAGCACTCGATTTTCGTTTAACATTCATGTACATCATGTGCTTCCCCAGTGCCACCATCAGGGCGCGTGTGATGGCTACCACGCGCCTGGCACAGCGACGCGAGCCATTCAGCGTGGCGCGCCGTGCTGCAGAGGCGTTGTTCGCGCCTCTTCCGTGCGGCTCCAGAGCTGTGCAGTGAGCGCCAGGGAGGTGTGAGGACACCTAAAAAATGCGCGCCCCCCCCCTTCCCCGAGCCGGCGAACGAAACATGACGCCGAGCGTTGACCCAGAAAAGGCAGCTCGGGGGGGAGAGGTGGGAGGAACGGGCGAAGGAGGGAGGAGAAAGCAGGAAGCAGGAGGCAGGAAGCAGGAAGGAGGAGGGAGGAAGGAGGAAAGAGCAAGGCGGAAGGAGAAAGGAGGAAGGAGGAGGCGGCGGAAATGGGTGGAGGAGGAGAGACGAGGGAGGAGGAGGAGGAGGAGGAGGAGGAGGAGGAGGAGGAGGAGGAGGAGGAGGAGGAGGAGAGGAGGAAGGAGGAGGAGGAGGAGGAAGGAGGAGGAGGAGGAGGAGGAGGAGGAGGAGGAGGGGAGAGATGAGGAGGAGGAGGAGGAGGAGGAGGAGGAGGAGGAGGAGGAGGAGGAGGAGGAGGAGGAGGAGGAGGAGGAGGAGGGAGGAGGAGGAGGAGGTGCCACCTTTTGAGGGGGAGGAGGAGGAGAGAAGGAGGAGGAAAGGAGAGGGAGGAGGTGGAGGAGGAGGAGGAGGAGGGGAGGAGGAGGAGGAGGAGGAGGAGGAGGAGCAGGAGGGAGGAGGAGGAGGAGGAGGAGGAGGAAGAGGAGGAGGAGGAGGAGGAGGAGGAGGAGGAGGAGGAGGAGGAGGAGGAGGAGGAGGAGGAGAACGAGCGAGCCTGCGCTCCTGCGGCGGACCACACGCGGCCGGCTGGCAGCTGGCCTCTCCGGGGGCCGCGGGCCAGAGATTCGGCGAGGCAGACTACTGCGCCACGGCGCGCGCCTTGCTGGGCCAGGGCGGCGCGCCCCTCGGCGCCCGCTGCCAGAACGGCACTCGCACGGGCCCGCGAGCCGGCCAGCAGTGCGTGGAATCTCTGTGCTCCACAGCGCGCCGCGAGTACCAGTGCGCATGCGGTGGCGGCGTGGTGGCGCGCAGCGGGGCTGTGGAAGACGCGTGGGAGCGCATCCACAGCGAGTGCAGCTACCACGCGCCAAGTTCCCGTCCCCGCGTTGGACCGGTGGAAGTGGCGCTGCGCGCACTGCGAGGCGCGGGGCACGACGTTCGACCCGCCCGCAGGGCCATGCAGCGGGTGCGGGGCGCCCCTGCAGATCGAACGCGAGGAAGCCATGCCGGACCTCGACACGCAGGCGCTGGGATGCCCGCGCCAGTTCGCGGACGTCACCGTCCTGTACTCCGTGCCGGGTGACGCCGAGCACCTCGCGGCGGCGGCCCAGATGGACGCCGCCGTCGACGCCGAGGCGGAAGGCGACAAACGGCGCCGCTATCCAGCGGGGCGCGCGCCGTGGTTCGTCCTTCCTGTGGCCGTCGAGTCAGGGGGCCGGCACGGCAGGGCCGCTTTGCGCCACCTGCGGATGCTGGCGCGGGACCTCGCCCAGGCGCTGGGGGAGGGAATGGGCAGCTCCGCAGTTGCCAGCGCCCTGACGCAACGCTGGGGCGCCGAGCTGTCTGTCGCCTTGCACGGGCGACGTTCAAAAGCTGGCACGAGCTGCGGCGGTGACCGAGCGGTGGGTGCGGCTGCCCTCCGCGAGGCGGTGGTGAGTTGAACCCGGGCGATCAGCGGCGGCGGGCTGGGCCAGTGCTGGGGCGCAGCAGTGTCGCGGTGGTGAAACGGCGCTGCAGAATGCTCTCGATGCTCCTGCTGATCAGAGTGCGTGTGCTTGGTTCGAACTTTCTGGATGTTCGCAGGATGCGGAGGAGAAGGAGGAGGAGGAGGAGGAGGAGGAGAGGAGGAGGAGGAGGAGGAGGAGGAGGAGGAGGAGGAGGAGGATTCTGTTGCGAGGATTCTGATACCCTGGTCTGCCGTGCCATGTGCAAGGGAGCGCGACCGACGACGATGAGACAGCAGCATCCCCCAGGCTTTTCCTGGGCGACGCAGGGCTACATCAGAAACCGCGGTTGGTGGTCGTTTGTCGCCCTTCCTCAAACCAGTGCGAACGCCCAGAGATCTTCCATGGATCGCCCCCAGGGCACTAAAACAGAAAACCGAGCCACCTGTCGTTGGCGCACCTAGCACGCCGACGCATAAGACAGTACTGCTTTTAATCCATGCTCCGAGTGCGGCTCATGTATTAGAAATGCAGGGATTTATTAAACCAACGACGAGTTCATGCATACATTCATTCACACATTAATCATGTATTAAAAATCGCATAGTTTACAATTCCCATGGTGTAAACTGCGCGGTTCTATTTTTGGGAAGCTCGCGAGACGGTGGCCTCGTGTGCGGGCTAGCTCTCGGTTATTTCTGCCCCCCCCCCAGCTCGGCCCGAGAGGGCAGACGGGAGGCCAGGTGCCGGCGGCAGAGGTCCCGCGGGCGCCTCACTCCCCCCTCAGTAGGCTGTGTGTGTGTGTGTGTGTGTGTGTGTGTGTGGGTGTGTGTGTGGGGGGGGGGGGGGCGCGCGGACGAGGCTGGCTCGGAGCCGCTCTGCGCGGTGCCGAGCCTTCGGAGGTTCTGGACGCCCGAAGTGGGTACGGAAAAAAATTGGTACAATGCCCAACAGCAGTTCCTGTTCATTTTGAACAGGATTCGCTGTCCACGCCGCCGCGGCCTGTGTCCATGCGCGACAGGGGGCCGCCTGCCCAGCAGCGGCCGCTGTTGGTTTGGGACAACATTTGTTGTTGGGCATTGTGCCCGTTTTTCCGTAACCATTTCGTGCGTCCAAAGAGGTGTCGACGAGCCCCTGGCCGAAAACCCCGACGTGAGCGGGAAATTCCCAACATATCCGAAACGAGTCTGTCTCGTTGGATCTACGCTTCTCGCTGCCAGGCGATCTGTTCGTGCTGCTTGGCTCCTAGCTTGGTGTACTGATACCTATTTCCAGCAAGCTGCGCGAGGCCCATGACTCGACGCTGGGCCCGCGTCGCGTTCGCTTTCATGTTCTGAAACCGAATCCCCCTCGGGCCGATGCCGCCGTTCTCGGCGATCAGGGCCCTGCACCGGCTCCACGTGTCAGAACGCATCGTGCTCGGCCTTTCGGCCCAGGTTGGGCAGCGCGCGAGTCCGTCGAGCATGCTCTTGCAGTCGGTTTAGATCATGAACGGCGGGCAGACCACCTCCAGCACCCGCCGACATGCTTCCAATTCGCTTCGGAAACTCGCCGGCTGCCATTGCGCCCCAGGCTGGGGCCCGTAGCAGGCGAAACGCAGTTTCATGTCGGGCGTCGGCTGCACGAGCGACCAGCTTCCTCACCGCAGAGCCGCGCCTCTGCCGTACAGCAGGCTGCCGTCGGTGTGGACATCGCCCGTGACGAAGCAGTCGAACGCGCCGTGGACCAGGAAAGTGTCCATCGATGGCAGATCCCACAGCCCGAACTCCACCGCGGGGTCGTTGGCCAGCCTGCGGCCCCAGAGCTGTTCCGTGCCCGGCCAGGCGTTGGCGCCCCCGCTGCCACGATGTGGTGCTCCTTCGCCTCGCGGCGGTGGGCCTCGCGCGCGGGGCCCCCGGAGGCCCGATGCTGGCCGGCCCCCCGCGCGCCCTGGCAAGCCTGGCGGGGGGCGTTCATTCTCCACCGCGCCCGCCCGGAAGAGGCGCACATGCGGTCACGTGCCTCCGCGCCAAGAGGGTGCGGTCGCGCGTCGGGTGCGCCTGCGTCCAGCGCCCGCGCAGCGGCCGCCTGAGGAGCGCCCGCGCGGGCTCCACGAGCACGGGCTGCAGGCCCCGCTGTTCGCCCCACTTCTCTCCAGCCAGGCGTGCCGGAGGCCCTGCTCGGTGGCCCCCTGGACGTAGTGCTGCAAGGCGTGGAGCGGCACGACCCGCAGATCCGGAGGAGGAGCAGGAGGAGCAGGAGGAGGAGGAGGAGGAGGAGGAGGAGGAGGAGGAGGAGGAGGAGGAGCGATGAACGATGGAGGATCCTTGAAACTCGAACCTCGTACAAGGACAAATCACGATGACGTCAACCGACGACCGTCGCCCGACGATCGACGACGACGAGGGTCGATGAAAAAGGGGGGAAGCGACGCGTGGGCGGGGCGACGCCAGTGGAGCTGCTGGGCGCCCCCGCCGGCCTACAGGCGGGGCCCCGCGCACGTCCTCGTCGTTATTGTCGTCGTCGTTGTTGTCGTCGTCGTCGTCGTTGTGGTCGCCATCGTCGTCGTGGTCGGCGTGGTCGTGGTAGTGGTCGTCGCCGTCGTCGTCGTCGTCGTCGTCGTCGTCTTTGTCGTCGTCCTCGTCGTCCTCGTCGTCTTCATTGTTGTTGTGGTCGCCATTGTCGTCGTGGTGGTCGTCGCGGTCGTCGTTTTTGTTATCGTCCCCGTTGTCCTCGTCGTGGTCCTCGTCGTCGTCGTCTTCGTCGTCGTCCTCGCCTTCGTCGTCGTCGTCGTGGTCGTTGTCCTCGTCATCGTCGTCGTCGTCGTCGTCTTCGTCGTCGCCGTCCTCGGCGTTGTCTTCGTCCTCGTCGTCCTCGTCCCCGTCGTCGTTGTACCTGCCTTTGTTGACGTCGTCCTCGTCCTCGTCGTCCTCGTCGTCGTCGCCTTCGTTGTCGTCGTTTTCGTCGTCTTTCTCGTTGTCGTCGTCGTCGTCGTCGTCGCCGTCGTCGTGGTCATTGTCGCCGTCGTCCACAATCGCGTCAACGTCGTTTTCTCGTTGTCGTGGTCGTTGTCGTCGTGGTCGTTGTCGTCGTCGTCTTTGTCGTCGTCGTCCTCGTCGTCGTCGTCGTCCTCCTGGTCCTCGTCGACGTCGCTGTCTTTGTCGTCGTCGTCGTCGTCCTTGTCGCTGTCGTCGTCGTCGTCGTCGTCCTCGTTGTCGTGTTTGTCGTCAACCTTGCCGACTTCGTGGTCGCCGTCGTCCTGTTCGTCTTCGTTGTCGTTTTCATCGCTATCGTCCTCTCCCTCGTCGTCGTCGGTTTCGTTGTCATCGTCGTCGCCGTCGCCGTTGTCATCGTCGTCGTCGCCGTCGTCGTCGTTGTTAGTGTCGCCGTCATCGGCTTTGTCGTCGCCGTCGTCGTCGTGGTCGTCCTCGTCGTCGTCCTCGTTGTCGTCGAAGTCTTTGTCGTCTTCATCCTCGTCGTCGTCGTAATCGTCATCGTCGTCGTCATTTTCGTCGTCGTCATCTTCGTCGTCTTTCTCGTCGTCGTCGCCGTGTTCGTTGTCTTTATCGTCGTCCTCGTCGTCGTCGTCGTCGACCTCGTCGTCCTCGTCGTCGCTGTCGTCATCCTCGTTGTAGTCATCTTCGTCGTCGTCGTCGTGGTCGTCGTCGCCGTCGTCGTCGTCGTCGTTGTCGTCGTCGTCCTCGTCACCGTCGGCGTCCTCCTTCTCCTCGTCGTCTTCGGCGTCGTGGCCGTCGCCGTCGTTGTGGTCGTCGTCGTCGTCGTCGTCCTCCTCCTTCTTGTCGTGGTCGATCTCGCCGCCGTCGCTGTCGTCTTTGTGGTCGTCGTCGTCGTCCCCCCTCTCGTCCACGTCGTCGTCGTCGTCTTCGTCGCTGTCGTCGTCGTCGTCGTTGTCGTCGTTCCCGTCGTCGCCTTTGTCGTCAACCCTGTCGATGTCGTCGTCGTCGTCGTTGTCGTCGTCGTAGTCGTCCCTGTCGTTCTCGTCGTCGTCGTCCTCCTCCTCGTTGTCCTCGTCGTCGTCTTTGTCATCCTCGTCTGCGTGTTGTCGTTGTCGTCGTCGGCCTCGTCATCGTCGTCCTGTTCTTCTTGTCGGGTTGTTGCCGTCGTTGTCGTCGTCGTCGTCGTTGTTGTTCCTCTCGTCGCCGTCTTCGGTGCCGTTTTCATCGTTCTTGTTCTCGTCGTCGTCCTCGTCGTCGTCTTCGTTGTCGTCGTAGTCGTCGTCGTCGTCTTCGTCGTCGTCGTCGTTGCCACCGTCCTCCTCGTTGTCGTGTTCGTTGTCGTGTTTATTATTGCCAGCCTCGTCCTTGTCCTCGTCGTTCTTGTTGTTTTTGTCGTCGTCTTCGTTGCCTTCGTCGTCGTCGTCGTCATCGTCGTCGCCGTCGTCGTGGTGGTCGTCATCGTCCTCCTTCACGTCTGCGTCGTTGTTGTCGTTGTCGTTGTCGTCGTCGTCGTCGCCGTCGTTATCGTCGTCTTCGTTGTCGTCGTCGTCCTCCTCGTCGTCCTCGTCGTCGTCTTTGTCATCCTCGTCTGCGTTGTCGTTGTCGTCGTCGGCCTCGTCATCGTCGTCCTCCTTCTTCTCGTCAGGTGTTCGCCGTCGTCGTCGTCTTCGTTGTCGTCGTCGTGGTCGTCGTCGTCGTCGTTCCCGTTATCGTCGCCGTCGTCGTGGTCGCCGTCGTCGTTGTTCTCATTATCGTCGTCGTCCTCGTCGCCGTCGTCGTCGCCACCTTGGTCGTGGTCGTCGTCGTCGTCCTCGTCGCTGTCCTTGTTTTTGTCGTCGTCCTCGTCGTCCTCGTCGTGGTTGTCGTCGTCGTCCTTGTCGCCGTCGTGTTCTTCGTCGTCGTTTATCGTTGGCGTCCTCGTCGTCGTTATTGCTGTCGCCGTCTTCGATGTCGTCCTCGTCGCCGTCGTCCTCGTCGTTGTCGTCGTTGTCGTGGCCGTAGCGGTCGTCCTCGTGGTCGTCGTCGTCGTCGCCCTCGTCGTTGTCGTCGCCATCGTCGTCATGGCCGTCGTCTTTGTCGTTGTCGTCGTTGTCGTCGTAGTCGTCGTCCCTGTCGTCGTCTTTGCTGTCGTCGTCCTCCTTGTCGTCATCGTCGTCGTCGACTTCGTCGTGTTCATCGTTGGCGTCCTCGTCTTCATTCTTTTCGCCGTCGTCTTCGTTGTCGTCGTCGTCGTCATCCTCATCGTCGCTGTCGTCGCTGTCGCCGTCGTCGTCGTGATCGTTGTCGTCGTCATCCTTGTCGTCGTCGTCGTTGCCGTCGGCATTGCCATCGTGGTCGTCGTCTTCGTCGTCGTCGTCTTTGTCTTCGTCCTCTTCGCCGTCGTCACTGTAGTCCTCGTCCTCGTCGTCGTCGTCTTCGTCGTCGTCGGCTTCGTCGCCAGCGTCGTCGTCTTTGTAGTAGTCGTCGTCGTCGTCTTTGTCGTCGTTGTCCTCGCCACCGTTGTCGTCGTTGTCTTTGTTTTCGTCGTCGTTGTCATCGTCCTCGTCGTCGTCCTCGTTCTCGTTGTCGTCGTCGTCTTCGTAGTCGCCGTTGTCGTCTTCCTTGTCGTCGTCATCCTCGTCGTCGTTGTCGTTGTCGTCCCTGTCGTCGTCGTCGTCTGTGTCGTCGTCGTCCTCGTCGTCTTTGTAGTCGTTTTCATTGTTGTCGTCCGTGTTGTCGTCCTCGTTGTCGTCGTCGCTGCCGTCGTCGACGCCGTTGTCGTTGCCATCATCGTCATCGTCGTTGTCGCCGTCGTCGTCGTAATCGTCCTCGTCGTCCTCGTCGTCGTCGTCGTCGTCGTTGTCGTCGTCGCTGTCGTTGTCGAAGTCGTCGTCTTCGTTGTCGTCGTCCTCGTCGTCGTCGTCCTTGTTTTCGTCCTCGTTGTCGTCGTTGTCGTCGTCTTCGCCAGCGCCGTCGTCTTCGTGGTCGTCGCCTTCGTCGTCGTCGTCCTCGTCCTCGTCGTCCTCGTTGTCGTCCTCGTCCTCGTCGTCTTTGTATTTGTTTCCGTTGTCGTCGTCGTCGCCGTCGTTGTCGTCGACGTGTTCGTTGTCTTTTTCGTCGTCGTCATGTCGTCGTCCTCGTCGTCGTCGCCGTTGCTGTCGTCATTGTGGTCGTCGTCGGTCCTCCCTCTCGTCGTCGTCGTTGTCGTCACCGATGTTGTCCTGGTCGTTGTCGTTGTGTCGTCGTCGTCGTTTTTATCGCCGTCCTCGTCGTCGTCGTGCTCGTCGTCGTCGGCCTCCTCCTCTCCGTCGTCGTCTTTGTCGTTGTCCCGTGTCGTCGTCGTCGTCCTCGTTGTCCTCGTTGTCGTCGTCGTCCTCGTCGTCGTCGGCCTCCTCGTCGTCGTCTTCGGCGTCGCCGTCGTCTTTGTTGTCGTCTTTGTCGTCGTCTTTATCGTCGTCCCTGTCGTCGTCTTCGTCGTCGTCGTCTTCGTCGTCGTCGTCTTCGTCGTTCTCGTCGTTGTCTTTGTCGTAATCCTCGTCTTCTTCGTCTTCTACTTCCTCGTAGTCGCCGTCTTTGTCATCGTCTTTGTCGTCCTCGTCGGCGTCGTCGTTGTCGTCGTTGTCGTCGTCGGCCTCGTCGTCGTCGTCATCGTCCTCCTTCTCGTCGTGTTTTCGCCGTCGTTGTCGTTGTCGTCGTCGTTGTTGTTCATCTTGTCTTCGTCTTCGGTGTCGGTTTCATCGCTCTTGTCCTCGTCGTCGTCCTCGTCGTCGTCGTCTTCGTTGTCTCGTTGTCGTCGTAGTCGTCGTCGTCGTCTTCGTCGTCGTTGTCGCCGTCCTCCTCGTTGTCGTGTTCGTTGTCGTTTTCACCGTTGCCAGCCTCGTCCTTGTCCTCGTCGTTCTTGTTGTTTTCGTCGTCGTCGTCGTTGTCTTCGCCGTCGTCGTCATCGTCGTCGCCGTCGTCGTGGTGGTCGTCATCGTCCTCCTTCACGTCGTCGTTGTCGTCGTTGTTGCTGTCGTTGTCGTCGTCGTCGTCGTTATCGTCGTCTTCGTCGTCGTCGTCTTGGTCGTCGTCCTCGTCGTTGTCGTCGTTGTTGTCGTCCTCGTTGGCATCGTTGTCCTCGTCGTTGTCGTCGTCGTCTTTGTCGTCGTCGTCGTCTTCGTCGTTATCGTCGTCCTCGTCGTCGTCTTCGTCGTCGTTGTCGCTGTCCTTGCCGTTGTCTTTGTCGTCGTCCCTGCCGTCGTCCTCGTCGTCGTCGTCTTCGCTGTCGTTTTCATTGTTGGCGTCCTCCTTCTCCTCGTCTTCCTCGGCGGAGCGCACAGCGGGCGTGCCGCTGCTACGGCCTCTAGGGCCCTTCGTCGAACAGCGTCCGCGCGAGCCGCCTGTGCGAGGCTCACCTCGCTCAGCGGGCCCGCCCGCGCGCGGCGCTCACGCGCGTGCTCTGCGAAGTCTTGCTCGCAGGCGCAGAGTGCGGGCGTGGATCCCCGTCCTCCTCGAATCTCGTCCTGCTCGTCCTTTTCATCATCCATCCGTTTCCTTTACCCTCCCCCTGTTTCCTCTCCCGATGCTTCCGGTCGACAGGCCGATGGCTCATTACTGACGTGATTTCGGCCCCCAGAAAATGTCGCGACATGGCTTAGTCCTTTTACTGCTGTGCAGTTTTTTAAAAAAGGGCCTCGGAGCGTCCGTTCGCCTGCGGAGCGGGGGCGGCGTAGAGATGAAGCGGCCGCGCGTGGGTCCCGAGGGCCTCGATGCCGATCGGCGAACTGGCAGCGGCGTATCTGGCGGCGCAGGGGGACGAGGAGCCTGCGCTGCGTCGGAGAGCGGAAGGAGAGAGCTGGAGCCGGCCCGAGGTCTGAGCTGGCCCGGCGGTGTCGTTTCCGGAGAGCAGGGGGGGGGGCCAGGGCGAGGTGCGAGGCTCTGGACACGAGCACGTTTTTTTTTTTTTTTTTTTTTTTTTTTTTTTTTTTTTTTTTTTTTTTTTTTTTTTTTTTTTTTTTTTTTTTTTTTTTTTGTTTTTTTTTTTTTTTTTTTTTTTTTTTTTTTTTTTGTTTTTTTTTATATATATATATATATATATATATATATATATATTTTTTTTATATATTAAAAATATATATATGTATATATATATACATAATGTTTTTTGTTATTTTGTGTTTGTTTACTTTTCATCAGAGCGTGAATTGCCTACCCCGCTTTCGCTTCCAGGCAAAACCAAGCCATACCACGCGCCTCCTCGTCAAGCGGCCTGACCAGTACAGGCCGTAGTTTGGCATCGTTTGGTATCTCTTGGAAGCGAGGGTGGTCAAAAGCGAGGTAGGTTTGTTTGCCCCTTCATCATGGGTGCACCGCTCTGCTGGCGATCCCCCGCCCGCCCGAGTCATGGGTCTGTGTGACGAGGAGTAAGTCGGGCCTGTCCCTCTACAGGGGGAAAATTCAAAACTAGTCAACAAATGGTATGGGGACTATTTTTAAAGGATTTGTTTTGACCATTTTGGAGTATTTTTGAATATTTTTAATTTTTCGTTGCAAATCCCCCTGTAGGGGGACACGCCCTACTTAAGACAAGGATCAATTTCTCCCATACATTTCACTCCGTGACGTGTGCCCAATCTTCTGCCCCATTTTGCAGTGCATCGGTTGCACCAAGCTGATTGTGCCACAAGTCTTGCACACTGAGAGTGCAAGCGCCCAATGTTTGCTGCTTACTCTAGCAGCTATATATGATTTGGGTTATATTGTCTCAAGCGCGTAATCACCTAGCAGCGGGAAAAGTCTTTGGAGACCTCCAGAAGCCAGAATTGGCACCAAAAGCGCTCTACAATATTGAAGCCCTGGATCCTCGAGGAGAGGGACGGTGATCTGGCTGATGCTGTTGCTGTTGCTGATCGTGATGACTTGGCTTGATGACGACGAGTATTGTGTTGGCCTCCGGTCAGTGCCGCCGATCCGGGGGGCTTCCCGCTGCTGTTGGCAGCAGTCCTGTGCGTTCCTTCTCCTTCCCCCCTGCCTGTCATTTCTTTCCTCTCCTTTCGTCCCTCCCCCCCACCTCCTTCGTCCGTATTACTTTCTCCTCTTCCTTTTCCTGCTTTGCAATCTCTTTCTATTTTCTGCCTTGGTTCCAGACCGCGAGAGGGTCTGGAACCGGGGAGAGGTCTGGGACCGCGAGGGGGTCCGGAACCGGTCCGTGACTGGGGGGGTCCGGGACCGCGGTGAGCGTCCAGGACCGAATGCTTTCCAGAACCGGGGAATTCCGGGTGTGGAGTGGTTCGGGACCGCGGAGCGGAAAGCGGAGCATATCGCCGCCCCCCCCCCCCCCACAGAGCGGAGCTGCGACGGAGTGGAAAGCGGAGCACATCGCCGCCCGCCCCCCCCCCCCAGACAGAGCGGAGCTGCGACGGAGTGGAAAGCGGAGCACATCGCACCCCCCCCCCCCCACAGAGCGGAGCTGCGACGGAGCGGAAAGCGGAGCACATCGCACCCCCCCCCCCCACACAGAGCGGAGCTCAAGCCCACGCTCTTTCAAACTCACACGCCGGATCGGCGGATTTGCAATAGCAATCGGCGGGTTTACCCCGCCGGTCCTGGTGCCCTCCGGAGGCCTTCTGGCGTTTGCTAGCCCGTGGTCAGGGACCAGCTTCAGCTCAGCCTGCTGGCTTCCATCACTCCCTGGCGATCGGGTGAAAAAGCAGCGAACGTAGCAGCGCGTTCATGTGAGGAGCAGCTGTGCTGTGAGTCTGATGATGATAGATCTGATGGCGATGACGATGATTAGGGGGAGGAGGGCGAGGAGGAAAAGGAGGAGGAGGAGGAGGAGGAGGAGGAGGCCGAGGAGGAGGAGGAGGAGGAGGAGGCGGAGGCCGGAGGCCGAGGAGGAGGAGGAGGAGGAGGAGGAGGAGGAGGAGGAGGAGGAGGAGGAGCGGGAGAGCGGTGGAGCTTCAGCCGGCATCCGCCTCGCGAGGCCGGCGGCAGCCGCCCCGGCAGCGGCCCCGCCTCCGTGCAGAGGCCGCCGAAGGCCGGCCGACGCGCGTCGTCGTCGCGGCTTTAAGTCGGGCGTGCCCCTCTGGGATGACCGTGGGGGTTCCCAAGTGGATACGGTAGGTTCGTGTCGTGTCGACCAGCGGCGACCCCGCCAGCGGCGTTCAACTTTGAACGCCGCGGGCGACCAAGAATCGTTCGATGTGGAACGATTTGGACGTATCGGAAACGGCCGATCGTTCAAGGTTGAACGATCCCCGCGGTGTCAGGAACCAACACCAGGGTCGACACGACACGAACCTGCCGTAGGGGGGTTACAAGTGGATGCCAAGGTGGGTTATATCTGGCCCAACCTGGCTTATAAGTGGGTTACAAGTGCCCTGAGTAGCTTAGGGGGGGTAGCGATCTGGGCGAGGTGGGCTCCGCCCACTTAGCCGAGTTATCGACCCCTCCTAAGCTACTTAGGGCACTTGTAACCCACTTATAAGCCAGGTTGGGCCAGATATAACCCACCTTGGCATCCACTTGTAACCCCCCTATCTATTTAGAACCCCCCCCACGGTCATTCCAGCTCTACAAGGGGGAATTGTCAAAGATAGTCCAAAAATAGCCCGGGGGCTTTTTTTTTGTTTTACTATTTTTGAACATTTTAGGAGTATTTTTTTGGGGGGGTATTTTTCGTTGTTCGTCCAAAATCCCCCTGTAGGGGGACAGGCCCCACCGAATCAGTGCGATGGAAACAGGTGCGGTAGGTTCGCGTCGAGTCGACCGTTGGCGACCCCGCCGCCGGCGTTCCACGTGAAACGCTGCCGGCGACCCCGAACCGGTGCGTGGAATTCGCCGGCCCAACGGGCCAAAGGCGTGCTAAGATCTCCGGTAACTGCTAAACAATACTTCTAGTTCGCGCGCGCGGGGCGGCCCCTGGGGGTCCCCCGGCGAAAAGTACCCCGACCGCCGCCCGACCACTGCTACTCAGAGATGGTTTTCCTCCTGGGTGTGGCTTCTCAGGCCCCCCAGAGCGCGCCAAGAGTGCCCCAAGAGGCCCCCAAGACTGCCCAAAGGGCCCCCGAGACGCCTAAAGAGCGCTCCAAGACGCCGATGATGACCTCAAGACGGCCCAAGAGGCCTCCAAGTGGCCTCCAAGAGGCCTCACAAGAGGGCCCTGAGAGGCCCAAATCAGACATTTTACGATGGTTTTGAAAGAATTTGGGCCTTGTCCCCTTTTCGGCCATCCGATGCTCCAAGACGGCCCAGGAGGCCCCCAAGAGCACCCCAAGACGGGCCAAGAGGCTTCCACGAGGGCCCCAAGAGGGCCCAAGAGGGCCCCGAGACGACCCAAGAGGCGCCCAAGACGGCCCAAGACGGCCCCAAGACGGCCCCAAGAGGGGCCCAAGAGGGGGACCACGAACCAAAACCTCGAGCCTTCCGCCCCAAGAGGGCCCCAGGAGGCCCCGAGAGGCCCCAAAGAGGCCCCAAGATGCCGCCAAGAGGCCCCCAAGAGGTCCCAGGAGGCCCCCAGGAGGCCCCCCAGAAGACTTCAAAAATGCCTCCCAGGCGCCCTCGAACGGCTTCTGAAAAGACCCCAAGAGGCCTCCCAGAGAAGCATCTTGACGACGACCCTGTTTGGCCCCAAGAGCAACACAAGATGCCAACGAGAGGCTTCCTCCTCCGCCCCTTCCTCTTCCTCCTCCTCCTCCTACTTATCTTCATCCTCCTCATCTCCTTCTCATCCTCTCCTCCTCCTCCCCTCCCCTTCCCCATCCTCATCTTCTTCCTCCTCGGCGGCGCCACAATGGCCCCGGGCCCACGGCGAAGCAGTAGCGATCATGCAACATGGGCCGGCGGAATGAGCGAAGCGATTGAATAACCTGGCATGTATCGGGGGAGCGTAAGACCCGGGTTTGCCAGGACTCGGGTTCGCCATCGTTTTTTGACGACCGCGCCTCGGATTTTGGCGAGGAGGAGTTTCGTGGGATGTCTGCTGCGGGAGGCCTCGTCAAAATGCAGGCTCGGCCTCGTCATTTTTTTGACGACCTCGTCGGGGATTTCCGAGTCCCCTGTACCCAGATCTTACGTCCCCCTGAATGTAGGAGACGACCGATCGTTCAAGGTTGAACGATCCCCGCGGTGTCAGGAACAAACGTCCCTCAGCTCCTCACAGGGGTGGCGCCAACGGGGGGGGCGAGAGTTGAGCGCGCCGCCAGGTCTGGTGCGAGAACTTGGGAAGAGATGAGAGGAATGGAAAAACCTTGGAACAAATTGAGAGAGATTATCACACATTGAACTGTAATTTGGGACTCGAAGGCGCCGTTTGGCTTGCAGAAGTGGCGGCCGGTGGCCCCCCCCCATCTCCGCCACCCCCATGTGGAGCTGCATGGCAACGCTGGGGTCGACAACACAACACGAACTCGCGGAACGGAAAGAATGGGGACGACCGTTGTCTCCCTCGGTGTCGCCGCGAGCGTTGTCCATTTGAGACCGAAGGCCGCCTGCCCAGCACCGGTCGCAGTCGTTTTTGGACAACGTTTGCTGTTGGGCATCCTGCCCAGGTTTTTCTTACCGATTTCGGGTGTCCAAACCAGAGAGGGGGGCGATTGTTTTGTGAGCCCAGATATCTCTCGCTCGCTCGCTCGAGCGAGGGAGCGAGCGAGGCTGGTCCCTCCGGCTCGCAGCTCGTACATAAGAAAACCGAGGGCAGATCGAGCTGAGAGGGTCGAACGCGTAAACAGACCAGTGTAACAAAGAGAGAGAGAGAGGTGGACTGCGTGTGTGTATATGTATGAGTATGTGTATATGCAAATGTATGTGTTTATCTATAGGTGTATGCATATGTACATGCATACGCACATGTCTATGCATATGTACATGTACATGTACAGGTGTATGTACATGCACATGCACATGTATACGTATAGGTGTATGTATATGTGTATGTATGTATGTATACGTGTATGTATGTTTACATGAATGTATGCATGCATGCATGTATGTATGCATGCATGCATGTAATGTATGAACTATAATGCATTGTATGTATGTATGCAGATCTGCATGTATGTATATATGTATGCATATATGCATGTATGTATGTATGTATGAATGTATGTATGTATGTATGTATGTATGTATGTACGTACGTACGTACGTACGTACGTACGTACGTACGTGCGTACGTACGTACGTAGGTACGTACGTAGGTAGGTAGGTAGGTAGGTAGGTATACATGTATGTATGCATGTATGTATATCTGTATGTATGCATGCACGAATTGATGTATGTCTGTAAACACATATACATATATGTATGTGTATATAGTATGTATACATATATCGCAGAGGACGAGGGCGGGGGCTCTGGCCCAGTGACCTCTACCCGCTATGGCGGGCCGCCGCCCTCCGAACGGCTCCAGACAGCTCGGCGAGAGATTCCGGGCGGCACAGGAGGCCCCGACCGTGCAAGAAACCACCGCAATCGGAAGTTCTGGACGTTTTTGAAATCATGTTTTTTGTCTGTTGTTTCTGCGTTGCGGCTGTCGTTGGCGAGTGTTTCTGGATTGACGCAGAATTTTCTCGAATGGCTGCAGCCTAGCCACTTGCAGCGCTTTTCCCGCGGAGATTTCCTGCAATGTGCTTTCGCGAGGCAGAGTGGCGATCGCGCGCGCGGCGACGCCCGTTTGCCACAACCCGCGCGCGCTGATCAGGGGAGGTCGCAGTACTAAAAACGTGATCGCTGCACCATTGCAGCGCTATGTTTGAGGCGGCGCGTAACGCCCGTTTCGCTTGTTAGCTGCACGTGTCTTGCATGGGCGGATTGCCCCCGCGCAGCGATGCTTCGCGCGGCGTGATTACGCCGATTTTGTGCGACGATGCGCTCGTTCATGCGGGCAGAGCGCCTCCGCGTGGCGAGGCCTCCTGTAGCGTCTAGCATGCCGCCAAGTTTGTTCCTTCTGGGCTCGCGGGCCCCCCGCCCCCTTCTCTCTTTGGCGGCGCGCCAAACAAGTTGACCGTTGTGTTCCTTGTGTTTTGTTCAGCGCTTACGCTGATCAGGTTGTTTTTGGTGGTGATCATTTATGGTTCGCCTCTCGCCCGGCCTCTCCCCTTGGCCCTACCCCTTCCTCTTCTAGTTTTTTTTTGTTTCTGGGTTTTTGTCATTGCGCGGGTCTCAAAATGGAGGGCCCTGTCGGCTCGTGGAGGACGCGACTTCGTTGTCAAATTATAGTCGCTGCGGTTGCGTGTAGAGAATTGGGCGCTTGCGATATGCCGATTCGTTCGTGGCAAGTCCCGCGCATTGCGATTGCGCTTGCTTCGACGCGGCGAGTTTTAGAGCACCGCCAACAAAACCGTACCGCGCAACAGATCGTCGCCCATACCTGCGCAATGGCCGCAACATGTCGCACGCTTACCCGCGCCGTTTCGGGGCTCATTCCTTCGTTGTCGTTGTCGTTCCCCCCCCTCCTCCGTCCCCACGTTGCGGGTCACCTTATTTTTCTGCCTCATCCTGCGTCCGTTGTTCTTGCCTCTCTTGGATTTCTCACGGGTTACTCTCAGGCCGCATTGGGCTTGTCACGGGGTCGTGTTGGGTTGTCTTGAGGGCCTCGTGGGGCACTCTTGGGCCGTTTTTGGGGCTCTGTGGGACACTGCGGGGCCATCGTGGTCCGTCGTGAGCTCCCCGTGGGGTCTGCTGGCGCCGTCTGGCGCCATGTTGGTTTCTTGGATTTGCCAGCGGATTGGCGGATGCACTGCAGGAACGGCGGCGACGGCATCAGAGTCGCCTTCAGGACTCGGCAGAACAGTTGCGTCGCGTTTCCAAGCGGGGTGGCTAGTTGAGGGCCTCCGACGGCCACGTTGGGACGTTTGAATTTTGGGTCCCCCCGCTCCAAGAAAACATGGTGGACGTAAGAAACCTTCCGGTTCTTTAATATATATATATATATATAAATCCCCCTCTGGGGGCCTCGATGGTCCCAAAGCACGAGACATCTGTCGATCCACGACATTTGATAAGCAGTCCCCCGGGTCCCAAGTAAGGTCCTTATTT